TCTACCAGAATACTAATTGACCCATCTCACCCACTGTACCCTCATCTTAGTCAATGTATCTCCACATCTAGCACTCGTTCCATGTATAAACATATAGCAGCACGCAACACTACATACAAGTCTTCTATAATACCGTACCTGGCACGGTTTCTTACCAACGCTGATCTTGTCATTGGAACTCTTAGACAAAATCTTTGCTACATTGGTTTTTTGTATATGTAACGTATACGCTTTGTTACCATGTAATTTCCAAAGAAGAGTAGTTGTGTAGTAGCTGAATGTTCATCCCCTATAGGGAGAATTAAAGCCGCTTCTTGACTTGACTTGACTTGACTTGACTTGACTTGACTTGACTTGTTCGACACTGTTTCAATGGATCATATCAGGTTTATAATAAAGTAGACGAACCGAGACTTTTATTAATCACGTTGAGCGTGCTGGAAAGTATGGGAACAATGGGCTTACCTGACGATTTTGGGGCCAATCGACCGGTTACTCTATTCGGTTGCCCGGTTACCTTGGGTCCTGCAAGTTATTTGGAATCAAACAGCGGAAATTATTAGTTTTCACAACAACCGCTTAAAGATTTGGAAACATTCGCAAGCTCTCAAAATTCGAATCATCTAGGTTGTGTTGTAACGAAGAAGGGTAGTGATGCAGTTAATCTGACGCAACTTCAAACAACCTAACCCAAACTACCAATGTTTATGGACACAATGTAACAAAACCCATTCTTAGCTTCGACTTCAATGTAACACCAAGTGCCAACGTCTTTTTACGGCAAAACCGTGGTGGGTCTACGGCTGGGGGTCAATAAGAAGTAAAAATTAACAATGTATATTCCCGATGTTGGGAAAACTTCCCCAAAGGGCTGAGATGAGTGTTTTGCGTAGTGCATGACTATCCATCTGTACATATTAGTACAGGTCCGCCAAATCAGAGGTTCCAAACTCGAGAGTACAGGATTATGGATTGAAATGGCAGTGGTAACCCACAAACATTTCACGCCAATTGAGAGATCAAACACAGGAAAGAACGGTGGAGGTACACTCACTACTGATGAGCTAAAAAAAATAGTAAATAGCAAGTCTACGGCTTCCTGGTTGTATTATGGTTGACTAGGTGAACCGAAAATTGTGAGTGAATTTTGAAGGATGGATAGTCAAATCAATATCGTTTATAGTATACAACTGCTCAGAAGTATTTGTGACTGAAATGCAGATTTAAACTATATTAGTCGAGCTGATTTTCACAAATTGCTGCATGCTAACATAAGTGGGCAAAGCCAGTCAAAAAGCGACCTGGAGGTCCGGAATTGTAATCTTCTTAGTGGTGCTCGTCTTTCCCATTGGCTCAGACGGCCACCGTTTGGCCGTAACCCCCTTCCTGAACGTTCGTATGCTCAATAACTAGAAAAGTAAAACATAATACACGTAATATAAAGTTTCTGTCTGTTTTTTTACCTCAAAAGGTCGTACAGTGGTTTGGATTGTTGTTTTTCGGTTACCCATTTGATCGGTAAATGGTGAAGAAGTGAAAAGCGCGAAGCATTATCAAGAGAAGAAATGTAAAAAAGTAAAATGTGACTAGATGCACGAGCACCGCGGTTTTCGACACCCGGCTATAACAAAAACAGTTTATCCAACATCGTCTCTAAACTTCTCGCTGGCATCATATTCCGCCGATTGTGTGCCGCACGTGAACGGTGCACACGTGAGAATCAGGCTGGCTTTAGGCTCGGTCGAGGTTGTATCGACCACATCTTCACTCTCCGCCAAACTATGGAGCACCGACATTCTTTTCGTAGACCCACCATCTCTATGTTGCTGGATCTGTAAGCGGCTTTCGACTCAGTGGACCGCTGTAAACTCTGGCACTGCCTTTCTCTGAAAGGTGCGCCCGAGAAGTTTAATCCAATATTATGATCGCTTTATACTAATAGCCGAAGCCAAATCGGAGCTTACGGCACTTTTTCGCCCGATTTCACCACGGAAAGTGGTGTTCATCAGGTTTGCCCTCTTTCTCCGTTTCTATTTAACTTTGTTGTAGATTTGAATATAGAAACAGCTCTATCTTCGCGCGAGGAGAGTGGTATCGATTTGCTCCCAGGTGGCAGACTGTCTGGTCTAGAGTATGCAGACGACATTGTGCTACTAAGTGAAGATCCAGGTCAGTTTCAGGCTTTTCCGGACAGCTTCAATGCCAGTGTATCCATTTTCGGTATACGTTTTTCACCTTCGAAGTATGAAATGTTACTACAAGATTGGGTTGATCCAGCCCCCAACCTCACCCTGACCGGGGAATTTGTAGAGAAAGTAGACAAGTTTTGCTACCTGAGCAGCTATATCACACCTGGCGGACGCATCACAGATGAAGTGTCGGTGCGCATACAGAAGGCTCGGTTGGGATTTTCCAACTTGAGACATGTGTGGTGCCGTCGCGACATCCGGCTGTCCGTGAAGGGTCGAGTGTATGCCGCGACGGTTCGGCCAGTCCTGTTATACAATGCAGAAACTTGGCCATTAAGAAAACAGGAGAAAAACAGACTGTCGGTGTTTGAACACCGCTATCTACGCAGCATTGCACTAATCTGGTTGGGTAGCCGAATGAGCAATGCTGAGGTTAGGCGCAGAGTTCTGGGTATCCGCGGTCGTGCACTGGGGCAAGTAGTCGACCTCCACAGATTACGTTGGCTGGGACACGTGTACGCATGTCACCAGATACCACGGCTGGTTACCACGGCGAGCGATGTTCGCCGAAGCAGACACCGAGTGGAAAAAAGCCAAGGATGGTCAAGCTAAGACCTGGCACGAGCGTACGAAAACCCTAACCAGGAGTCTGGGTCACATAGGTCCTGTTAGGCTCCCTGGCTGGGGACCTCGGGATGATCGTAACCGATGGTTAGAGACTCTGAGTGATATGGCTGGGTGTCGTAACCAGTGGCGTTCGTGCATCTCCCCAATTTCGCTGCAACCTTAGACCACTGAACTTTTCCATTTTCTGTTCGACTCCACTTTAAACTTTCCTTCTCCTATTCTTCATCCAAATGGGCACCCAAAAGACAGCAACCAGAACCGGCACACGAATATGAGTGGTTATTGGTTGTACAAACTGAACTGAACTGAAAAGTTGGATAAACAATGTGAAATTACTGATTTTATCATTCTCCGATCATAGTAGTAGCAGGGTAAATGTTCTATGGCAATTTTCATACAAGTGAATATTATCTGGAATGGCAAAAAAGAAACATTGTCAACACAATTCATTGAGGTTTCCGGGGTAAAAAAGTGTAAAAATACAAGTTTGTTCATAAAAAACAGTACCAACACTTACCAAGGCGATTTTTAACCGATGATTCGCTCCAGTAGATCGGTTTGATCGCGGTCCCTAGCACACCTTCGCTATAGGTGAGGGGATTCGCCTGGAGACGATTTTTCAGAGGAATTGGTTTCTGTGGTTGGGGAAATTGGATCGGTCGACGTGCCTTCGCCGGTGCGGATGAGGAGACCGATGCCGTCACTCGCGGTCGCTTCAGTACTCCTTGATAGCCCAATGAGTCGCCCGGGGGACCGGATCTTTGAGACACCGACACGCTGCTTAGTCGGCTGAAAACCGAATCCCCAGCCTAAAAAGAAAAGGTTTTAAAAAAGCACACGCATCGTGTAAACAGTAAGTACTTTCAGAAATATATAACATGAAGGCTTAGCACAAACGAAATGATGGAATCGTTGGAAAATACAAACGCGTCGTGCAATGAGCACTGTAAGAAAATTAAAACAATCTACTTAGTAGATTGTTGATCGAAAGTAGAAAAATCCATGTAAATCAAAACTAAAACGTTCATTTTCTATTTCGAATCACGCTCATGTTAAGATGAGTAAATCAGATGCATCAACACAAGGTTTGAAACAGATGGCAGACTCACCGGACGCTTTTGTGCTCTTTTCATAGAGGTTAACGACGTGTCCGGAACAACCACTGTGCGGATAGGTTGTCTGTTCAGGTTGGACGCGGGAGGTGCATTCCCAGAAGAGATGGGACGACGTACAAGAGTACTACGGGTCGATTGATTTGCCTTCGGCGGAGTCAAATCCAAGTTTCTCTGAATGATCCGGTGCGCCACTACACTTTTGCTCGGAGACAAATCGGAATCAGAGGCCAGCGATGCCCCAAGACGGTCAAACACTGATGCGGTCGACGGAACATCAATTTTTCTGTATATTTAGTTAACGAGGAACAAACATCATAGAGATCAACTCATAGCATCACATGCACCACTGTTCAGGAGTAAATAATAAATACATATTTGAATACAATTTTCGTAAACTCCATGACAGTACGCTGAAAAACAGTAAGCAGATGAACAACTGGTACACACTAGCCCTGGAAATGTGGATATTTGGGTAAACGAATTTCACCGTTTCGGGATCCCTCAAAGACTTGTGTTTACAGCTTCTATTGGGAAGTGCTATCCAGCAGCGATGCATTTTACGACAGTGAGGGATAAAAACCAATGTCTGAAACTGTAACCGATCCCCCGCAGTTGGCTCGTCTAAGGCAGTTATAGAATCCTGATACTAAACAAACCATGGTAGTGTATGAGACGCTCTCCGAATAGCTCGATACAGGGTCACCGAGCTCCATCGGGAAATGCGATATTAGACAACCTTGGAAAGGCTTAAATAAAATAATATCTTTTTATTCTTCCTTTTTTTAGATATACAAATGTACAATCAACTTTCAGGGAGGGGGCCGCGGCCATACAGAGGCTATTTGGGGAAATACAGAAATGGGCAGTGGTGGAGCGATCCGAACCCGGGAATTCCGGGTCAACACTCTGATGACCTTGCCCCCCGCAAAAACAACGGAACACCAATCCGCAATAGTTTTCCGAACCAACATTTCGGTTCACAACACGGACAGAATAAAACAGACATTCTGTTACAGATATACTAAAATTCACAACGAATTCCCCTTCGATTTGTCCAATTTCAGCTGCCGCGTTAGAACTTGTTTCATCTTCTTTGCGTAGTGTCGCAACTTTGTCTGTTCTAAGCCATTGATTTGGTGCTGACGCTTCGTTAAAATCAGAAGGCATTGCACACTACTATTGTTCAATAAAATACTTAAACCAGCTGAGACGTTCAGCTGTAGATCTGTTTGTAATCCACGGAAACATCAGTGACAGTTCAGTTCAGTTCAGTTTAGCTCTTACAACCATTAACCACGCACTTTCGTGTGCCCGTTGTGGTTGATTTCTCTCGGTTGCCCATTTGGATAAAACAGCGGAATAATCATTAGAAAGTTGGGAACAAATTCAAGTGGAAGATAGCGCATTTATATAGACTGATGTTACAAGAATAACGAGTAGATGCATGAGTGCCACTGGTTACGACACCCGGCCATATCATTCAGTCTCTAACCATCGGTTACGATCATCCCGAGATGCTCAATCAGAGAGCCTAACGGGACCTATGTGACCCAGACTCCTGGTCTGGGTTTTCATGCCCTCATGCCAGGTCTTAGCTTGACCGCCATTGATCTTTTTCCAACCGCTACCTGCCTCGCCAAGCATCGCTCGCCGTGGCAACCTATCTGGTGACATGCGTAACACCAGAGTAATCTATGAAGGTAGACTACTTGCTCAGGTGGACGACCGTGGATACCCAGAACTCTGCGCCTAACCTCAGCATTGCTCGTCTGCTTTCTCCACCAGATTCATACAATGTGATATAGAAAACGGTGTTCGAACACCGACAATCTATTTTTATCCTGTTCCCGTAATGGTCAAGTCTCTGCACCCTAAAGCAGC